TCTTAAATCTAATCTTTTACAAAGTATCCTAGCTTGTTTTAGAAAAATTGAATTAGTGTAGGTGAGCTGAGGTCCTGTGCCAAGAGCTGCATGCTGACAGAAGAGACAGCCCCTGAGATGGACAGTTGGCACATGGGAAGTGTTACTATTAACCACAGCCCTTGTCTCACTTTCACAGGAGCAGCATGATGGGCCTTATAACCTCTGGCCTGAGGAACTAGCTCCAGAGGCTCCTCTCTTTGCCTCCTGAAATCCCCTCCTTTCTATCCAGGACAAAGAAGTCACTAAAATCACAAATTCAGAGACTTGAAAAGAAGTCACTAAAATCACAAATTCAGAGATTTAAAAAGGGTTTGGAGATAACAAGGTAGTGCTAATAGACAGAAGGAGGGTGACAGGAACCGGGTTTCAGGGTATTTACTCACTAGGAAGTCAAACCAATTAAGCAAGGTACTTGCTGGAATCTGGAAATTGATTAAAGAAGGGAGGAGGGGAGATGCAGGATTACTTGATATAGCACAGCTTTGAGCACTTTTCTTCATAGCACCCATTATTGTTATCTGCCATCAAGTTCAGCCTGATTCATGGAGATTTAGATAGGATAGAACAAAACAAAATGTTGCCTGGTCCTGAGGTATCCTCAAGGTCATCAGTATATTGAGCCCATCATTAGAGCTATTGTGCCAGTCGGTCTCACCAAGGGTCTCCCATACCATCATTGGCCCTCCTCCAGTGATTGATCCCTCTTGGTGAACATGTCCACAGCAAGTGAGTTAGGCAGTATTCAGTTGTGTTTCTTAAGGTTTTTATTGGCTAATTTTGGGAGCTCTGGTAGCATAGTGCCTAAGGCACTTGACTGCTAATCAGAAGGCTTGCGTTTCAAGCCCACCCAGAAGGAAGGTTGGGCAATCTACTTCCCTAGTGATACCACCTCAGAAACCCAAGGAGGGGTTGCTATGAGTTGGGTCCGACTCGACGGCACATAACAACAACAGTTTTGGAAAGTAGATGGCTAGGCCTTTATTCCTAGTCTTAGTCTGGAAGCTCTGCTGAAACCTGTCCACCCTGGATGACCCTGCTGGTATTTGAAATACAATAAGTCCTCAGGTTACGAACATCCAACTTATGAACAACTTACATTTGCCCCTTAATGTTATGCAAATTCACCCTCACTTTGAAATAATTGAACCAACCCATACTGGCAACAAATTCTTCATCACAATCACCTTCACTTGCTGCACATGCAGCTTTTAAATCACTGAAAAGGCTTTGAGCCTTTCCTTGCACTAAAATAAGGCTAAATAAGAACCATATGCACCTGTTCCAACTTAACCTACATGATTTAAAAACATACTTAAATACTGATCTCATTCATAACCCAAGACTGCCTATACTAGTGGCATAGCTTCCAGCAGCATGGCAATGTGTAAGCCACCATAGTATGGCAGACTGACACACGTGGTGGATAGCATCCATTACAAACTAATGCTCTGTGTAATTGTTTCATGTTTCTCTCGCCCATTATACCAGTGCTTCTCAACTGCAGGGCAGTTTTCCCCCAAGGAGACATTAGCAATGCTTGGAGACATTTTTGCTTGTCAGAGCTGGAGGAGGGGTATCACTGGCATTAAGTGGGTGAAGGCCAGTGATGCTGCTAAAGATCCTATAATGCATGGAACAGCACCCTACAACAAGAACTCTCTGGTCCAAAATACTGACATTGCCAAGGTTGAAACTGCATTAGATTAAGTTTCGTGAAGACCCGTCTGCCTTGTGGGCACTTATTCCCAGCACTAGCTTGGAGCCTGGCACATCAGGAAGTGCTCAGCACATTTTAACTGAATACAAATGAGACAAGTCTTCCCTTCTTTTAGCCAGTTTGCCCTAAATCTTTGCTTATGCAACACCAGGCAATCTCAACCTTGAGCACATTGCACAAGTCTGATTATTTTTCTTCTATTTATGGGTCTGATAGCATAGTGCCTAAGTGCCTAAGTGCTAATCAGAAGGCTGGGTGGTTCAAACCCACCAGCCACTCCTCGGAATTAAGATGGGGCAATATACTTCTGTATTGATACTGCCTCAGAAACCCAAGGAGGGGTCACTATGAGTCAGGTCGACTCGATGGCACATAACAACAACAACATTTTTATGTCACTGACCCTACCTCTCGGCTGCAGAAGTCTCTGACAGAATAGACTGCTTTAGAAGGGGGTTACATTTCCTTTCTCTCATCTTGCTGTCTCATTTCTCAATATTGAAATCTACATATGCATGGTTTTGAATCTCCATTCTTGAGAACAAAATTAAATCAAAGGGTAAACAGTTTTCCTTTGCTTATATCTAGTATTTTGGTAGTGTAGTGCCTGAAGGCACTTGACTGCTAACCAGAAGTCTGGCGGTTCAAAGCCACCAGCCACTCCTTGGAAGGAAGACCGGGCAATCTACTTCCCTAGTGAAGTTGTGTTGTTGTTGTGTGCTGTCGAGTCGGCCCCAACTCATAGCGACCCCTCCTTGGGTTTCTGAGGCAGTATCACTATGGAATTAGGATTGCCCAACCTTCCTTCCAAGGAGTGGCTGGTGGGTTTGAACTGCCAGCTTTCTGGTTAGCAGTCAAGTGCTTTAGCCACTATGCTACCAGAGCTCCTTACTATCCTACTATCCCTAGTGATACTGCCTCAGAAACCCAAGGAGGGGTCGCTATGAGTCAGGTCCGACTCCACGGCACATAACAACAACAAGAACAACAAGTATTTTGGTATATAATGGTTAACTACACTGAATACTGCCTTAGCAATAGAGATAATTATGTTTATTTTCAAGGATGTCACACTGAGTATGTTTGGGATGATGGAGGACAGGGAGATTTCCAACATAATGAGCTTTTGAAATGTAATTTGATCATTTTTTTAGGATCATTTTATCTTTTTGTGAGGAAAGATCTGGATGGCCCTGGAAGCTGTCTTCCAGCAGAGTGCTGGCTCAGGGGCTTCATCAGCCTAATATAAAGAGGGACAGCTGAGCGCCAAAGTCCCCCATTCTTCCCTGTTACTAACAAGTCCCCTTCCTGAACCAAGGAGCCTCCATTGTTTCATAGTTGCATAGATGACCCCACACACCCTTCTATAAAGATGGAGAGTGCTATAGAGAGAGGGGTACCTCTCTTGGGCACACGGCCATGAAGTGTGCAGTCCATTTTTCCACAGGCCAAACTCCCCTCTCAGTGAGGGAATGAGGGCTCAGGGATTGCTCACATCCACCTCTTCTTCTCTGGAGGTTGTTCCCGATAATCCTTCTTTCATATCTATACTTGTGGCTCCCTTAGAAATGCACGTGCAGCCTACCCATCACACATAGGAGCAGTTCCATTGAGCATCTCCTTAAGGTTGGTATAACTGGAGGCTATTTATCATACTTAAAATTATTTCCTTGTATATGAATTATTTAATGAAAGTGCCAGAGAACAAGAAGAGGATAAGTACTCAGATGTGTGAGAATACAAGGGAGTGGAATGTATGTGTACATATCATCACATCTGGTCTCTACTTCTGCAGATTTGCTTTGTTTTGTTTTTAAAATAGAGTTTTTAGCCTATATTGAGAAACACTGTAAGAAATAGACATGTTAGTGTCAATTTTCAGGATGTTTTTGATGATGTTGCTAGTTAAATTACATAGTGAACTCCTTATGCAGACTCTGGAGAGCAATATAGTTCTGATCTAGGACTCAGGAATAATTGAGATTCTTCTGAGTTGCAGGTTTGTTTTTTATCTTGGGGACTGTTCTGGGTACCTAGTGCCACTCTGACAGGAATATACCACAAATGGGATGGCCTTAACAAACAAGAGTTTATTCTCTCACAGTTTGGAGGCTTTAAGTCCAAGTTCCAAGTGCCAGGCTCTAGGGGCTGGGTGAAAGCCCCTCAACCTTGGGGTCTAGCTCTGCCTCTGCTCCCAGCCCACTGGAGCTAGAGGCATTTCTTAACTCAGACAGCAGCTGGCGGCAGCCCAAGCCCAAGGCTGACATGTAAAAAGACACAGTCCCGGTGTTACCAAACCACACAGCAAGCCATTAATTTAAGTCCATTCTAAGTCCCAAGGTAGGCAGAGCATGGCAAGCTGCTGAACAATGACACAGCTACATGCAGGGTCCAAGCGTGCCATAGGCTAGAGACTATCCCCAAGGCTTCTCCTTATATACAGGAAGCAGACCACCTCCCAAAGGTAGCTCCTCAGCTGCTTGTGGTAGATCCCACCATTGAGTTGATTGCCAGTCTCATCTTGGGGAATAACTACCACCAGCTGCCCAACCACTCAACCAGGCCCAGCCAAGTTAACATACAAATTTAACTACCACAGGGACAATGAGTATGTATCCAGTTATGTTTTCTTTAAGAAATAAAAGAATGTGTAGAGCCAAATTTGTTGCCCACTCTTGTGTAGCAAAAGTTGAGAAGTTCATGATGCACACTTGTGCTAATAACCTCAGTCCTAGCTCCAGTTCTGACTCATGGTGACCTGTGTGTAGCTCAGAGTAGAACTCTGCTCCATAGTTTTCAATGGCTGATTGTTAAACCTCCAGAAATGTTTTTGGAATGAGATAGGGGTGTTAATAAATAAATGTATTATCATTAAAAAAAAAAAAACCCTCACTGCCATCAAGTCAATTCTGACTCATAGCAACCTCTGTTGCGTTTCTGAGGCTACAAAGCTTTGCGGAAGTAGATCACCCCATCCTCCTTCCACAGAGCAGCTAGTGGGTTTGAACCACTGACCTTCTGCTTAGCAGCCAAAATGCCTTATTGGCTGTGCCACCAGAACTCCTATATGTATTATCATAAACCCACTGCTGTCCATTCCATTCCGAGTCATAACGACCCCCACTGGGTTTCCAAGGCCATAAATCTTTAATGGAAGTAGATTGCCCAGTCTTGCTTCTGTGGGTGTATTATCATAGAGCATGAAAAACGAGTTTTACTGCCTTCTTTTTTCCTTTTCCAGATTGAGATGCTACCAGATGGGCTGTTTCAATGCAAAAAGCTGCAGTGTTTACTATTGGGGAAAAACAGCCTCATGAGTTTGTCCCCTCACGTGGGTGAGCTATCGAACCTTACCCATCTGGAGCTCACTGGGAATTACCTGGAAACACTTCCTCCTGAGCTGGAAGGCTGTCAGTCCCTGAAACGGAGCTGTCTGATCGTCGAAGAGAATTTGCTTAACACTCTGCCTTTCCCTGTAACAGAACGCTTGCAGACGTGCTTAGATAAATGTTGACGTAGAGAGAAGAGACACAGTGTCTCAAAGTCATCTTTAAAATATACTTCCAGAGGTTTAAATGAGAAGTAAAATTTCCTAAATTGTAAGGATGAAAAGTGGGTGATGATTACAACTAACCATATCCAAATGTCTTATTATAGCCATTTAGTGTCTAGCCATAAATTAAACAGCTAAAAAGTGTTAGCACTGAGTTGCAGTTTTGTGAGGAGTTGATCTTTAACTAATGGAGGTGGTGCAAGAAAGTCAGATCAAGAGTGGAATGAAATTATTCAACCCTACCTTGCAATTTTTTATGTTGAAGGTAGTGTAGGTGTTCCTTTCCTCTCCCTCTCCTAGTTCATTACTTATTTGCACACTTGTTTTAACTGCCTTCCTATTTTGATATTTATGACCAAGATCATAAACTCATCAATATAAATTTCCATGATATATACTCACCACTGCCTTCATTAATGTTCTTTTTCTTTTTTTTCTTTTTTAAGGCAGGGTGTTTGCAGAATTTTTTGACATAATTTTTACTTCCTTTCCCAGCTTGCTTGACTTCCTTAATCTAGTTTTCTCTTAACAGCAGTGGTGTTGAACAACTGCCTTTGGCCTTTGCATAGAACAAGAGCAGGGTACTTAGATTTCACCCTCGGGGGCATCCTGAAAAACAATATATTCTCTACAATTTCTTCTTGTCTCCCATCAAAGCCTTTTTTATTTGCTACGACTTTTTGTATTAAATGTAAAACATTAAATATGTTCTGTTGTATAACCTTGGATTCAACATCTGTGAGAATAATTTTTGTTAGGTACAGAGAACATATGCATTTCTTTAAAAATTTACTTTTTAATGTACTTGGGTTTGGCCGCTTAATATTCTCATGTTTATGTGCATTCAGCTCCAAAATGTTTTTCTACTCTGCAACTAATTACATCTGGTTAACAAAACCCTTGTGTTCCATGCACAAAACTACTGGGGGTTCCTTGTGAGAAAATGGCCCCATCATCTCCCTCTCTCTTCTCCAGTCGTTATGCTATCGTACGGGTACAATTCAATTCTTAATTACTTACAAAAACTGTGACGGAGGGGAGAGATACAGATTGGGATTTTCAAAACTGATTCTAAAATACTTTGTAGAAATTTAGTAAGAGTTAAAGGGAAATACTTTTCTTAGCTCCATCTGCATGATCTCCAGATATGATTATAATGTAAAACACTCAGCACCTATTCAGCGATTATTATGAGTTCTCAAAGCTCACAAAGAGTTAGATCCGTTTAACACTGAAATTCATCCCATGCTGTTGTCTCACTCTTCTGGAATACATTTTGCTCCTTTTCACAAAGAGCATTGTGTTTGGCCTTTTATTATCACGGGTATTGTAAAATGAATAAAGTCGACTGACTCATTTTTGGGAAATGTACATTTTTAATGTGTTTTTCCCTAATGGATCTAGGCGTTATGATGCCACTTCATTTTTAGATGTAATATTGAAGTAATCTAGACAAATATTAGACAATTTTTAATTGCACTTAGACAAAACTGGAAAATACTGTGGATGAAGAATACTATAAACATGGAATTTTAGTGTGTGGTGTATGTTTTATTTTTACTTTGCCTGTTCCAGAAAGGAGCTCTAATGGTGTAGTGCCTAAGGCATTTGACTGCTAACCACAAGGCTGGTGGGTCAAACCCACCAACCACTCCTCGGAAGGAAGACTGGGGATTCTACTTCTGTAGAGGTACCACCTCAGAAACCCAAGGAAGGGGTCGCTATGAGTTGGATTCAACTCGACGGCAGTGAGTATTTTGGTTTTCATGCACAAAGATGAAAGTAACCCTTTCAAGTTATGGCAAAATGTAGTGGGACACAATCACCAGCCACATTCCACAGACTGAAGTTCAGAGAAAAGAATTGTTTGGTCCCGTCAAATAAAATTTGATTAATATTAGCTATAAAGAATGTAGAACATCAAAAAGCTAGTGAATATTTATTCTGAATGGGAAGAAACAGTGTAAAAATTTATTTTTACCAAAACTTGCCTTTAGTCAGAACATTCAAGTTCTCAGGGAACAAGGCTTAACTGATGAAATTTTCTTCCAGGACTTCAGAAAACAGATTCTGACTATATCCAGGGTTTTTTTGTTGTTTTGGGCTTTTTTCTTGTGTTGATAGTCATTTTACTGTTCATGTTTATTTCACAGTAGAATTGCCCTGTGTTCTGATTCCAGTATTGGGTAACATTATCTTAAGTTTCGGATATAACATAATACATGGCAAGGTCTTTTTTTTTTTTAAAAAAACAATAAGTAGCCATGATTTGTAAGAAAAATCCCACCCTCTCCTTTAAGGAAGAGTTTTCAAAATATGAAATTCAGATTTGCTACTATTCACCTAACAAACTAGAACTTAATGACCAGGTTTATCAGCAAAAATCATTGGCTAAGTCTTCTTTACCATCTCTCTAAATTTCAGGAAGCAATTTACTAGCAGAATCAATCATGAATATCGTAAACTGCTTCTCATACACTAGGGTATAGTTACTGGTGCAACTGTTGTTCTGATGCCATAGTTGATATGTAAATTTTTTTCTTTTTATTTATTTATTTTGTAATCTTATATAACAGTGTTTAGGTAGCTTTTACAAGGATGTAACACTGACAAATAAACTCTAGAGACTACCATTTGACATACAAAATTTGTTGTTAAAACTACCTTGACTGCACTTCTGGAACATATCTTTATTTCATTTAAGAGAATTTTAAGTGGAGAAAATGAATTTTGTTAAATTATCATTATTATACTTTAGTTACCATTTGTTTCCAAGAATGCATGGTGCATTTCCGCAAAATAAATGTAGATGTTATTCAGAGCAAAAGGTTATGACTTATACTAGCGATAGCATTGGTTCATTTTATTTACACACAGAAAAACACTCGGATCCCCTATGTATGCAAAATGTAACATATTAGCTTATGATAGTTTAGTATTATTTTTTTCTAAAGTTGTAATAGGTTGTAGGTTTTTGCTAGAATATTAATTCTGTATTGTAATCATTGTTCTGTTCCCTTAACGATAGCCTTTAAAAGTAAAAGTGAATGCTCAGTCTTAGTTTGAGAACTTACATGTTTGTTCCAAGCATTCCTGGTAAAGCTGTAGTGCTTTTTCCTTAATCTACATTAGGGTACACCTGTGTGGCACATAGATACTTTACTTCCATCCTTCACCCTCGATCTGTATTTTCCCTCCTCTCCCAGATGTCATCACATTTCCCTGTCACTTAACGAACGTTTATGTTAAACAGGGTCAAGATGGAGATCGTGAGGGTCTCCACGCTGTGGCACAGCACTGCTGTGAGTGCTGTGGTGAGCAGCAGTGATCTGTTGGCTTATATTATTGTTTGAAGCTGAAAATGTTTCTGTGCTTCAAGTGTTTCCTGATTCGAATTTTGGATGTTTAATTAAAATACTGCATAATCTTGATTGGTTCAGAAACCATTAAAATGATCAAACAATTATTCTATGAATTTATAGATTTATTTCCCTGTCTTTTTAGGAAAATGTTCCATCTTTACATCTCTTAGCATGGTCCTACTAATATGAGATGATGTGTTTTCCTTCACTCAGCCACTTTCTACATTACTTTGACCAGCACTTGTGTAGTAACAGTATATTTGTGCTAAAGGACTTGCAGTGATACTTGAGAATGTATTTGTTTGGAGAAAAGCCAGAAAGCCTATAATTATTCCCAGCTGAGTAGTTCTACTTTGCCCATCTCTGCAGTATCTAGAGCGGATCCTGTGTTCCTTTCTCCCTACCAGAGGCATAAGAAAATAAGTGACTTTGTTTTCAATAACTGTACATTGCATCGGAATCTGTGTTTCTTTCTTTCTGGAGACAAGACAAAGGCTGGTGGGGAAGGAGAAGAGTTACTTTGCATCTTGGTTTGTATTATAAAGACTTTATATACACAAAATGGTATAAACCAATAACTGTTTAAAAAAAACCCTACATATAATTATTTATTCTCTTTTTTAGTTAGTTCTTCCCATACCTTGTCATTTCTGCATCCATTGGGAGCTATCTAAGTACCTTTGGTAATGGACTGCATTCTCTTCAACAATTTTTTTTTTTTTTTTGGACAGTATCATCAATACTAAGAGTTAACACAATACGTGAGCCAAAATACTGAGTCAAAACCTCTTCCCATGAAACTTAATTCATATTTACACTTGACTTGTATACGCTACTCCTGAGAAAAACAATTATTAATGCCTTCTGCATGTTGTATATTATCTCTAACAGAGATGGTACAATTTTCAAAATGTAAAGAAGTATAGAATTAGAGTGGATGTGTTTGTGTATAATATGTGTTGCATATAAACATAAAAAAGCTTATGAGGATTTTTTAAATTCCTCAAGTGTTTCACTCTATGGAGTAATGGGCCAATTTTGAGTAGAGATTTTGTTAGCATCTTTTGTTAGCATCACAGTGAAGGCTAGCATTTGTTATTTTACCTTTGTCACATATTTGGAAACATGTATACAACCGATCTTTGCTTCTGGTAATGAATTACTAGAAAATGTAAGACTTTGTAGTGGTTTTGGCCCTCAGATTTACTATGTAAATCTGCACTTTTGTGGTAAATCCCTTGGCCTGAGATTCAGTAGCTTTTGGCAAACTATACTGTTTTTAAAGTTCTTTTTGTGTAAAATAAAGATTCCATTTTTATAATAAATGGCAAATAAAAACAGATCAAACGTTGGAAGAACTTGGCTGCACTAGTTTTTACCTGTGTTCACTTATTAGGGCTCTAGGCTCCAAAAGTTCTTCCCTTCCTCCTCCCATGCCTCCCTGTACAGTTGTACTATTAAATTATTCCCTAAAGGATATGTTTTAGGTTTACATGTGACTCTTATGACAGTAGTATGAGTTTTCCAAATATGCTACAATTGTCACAAAAATAGCAAGCACCTGAGAAGACCTGGATTGATCGTAATATATACTCTATACATAGGGGAGTATGAAATCTGTTGCTTTAGTAACAGGGCCAT